CAGGGACGACCTGAGCCGCCCCAGTGTTTTGGCGCTGGATCACCGCATCTGACTGCTGGTTAGGGACTCTGTCTCCTGTCTTTCAGCCCTGTTAACTCACCACTGGACTCCTGCCCTCCAGAGGGGCTCTTCATTCCTGGCCTTTTCAGTGGACAGGTTCTGTCTCATACACTTTTGAAGTGTGAGATGGAAAACTTGACTTATTTGGCTGTGGCTACAAAATACACATTTTCTGAACACAGAAAACAAAGAATAAACAAAGTGCACTGAGATGCTTGAGAACAGGAAATGTGTGTTTGAGAATGAATAGTTTTAGTTTTTATTTTATAGTTTATTTATAGTTTTTATTTCTGAATAACACGACATGTAATTTTGCTCTCGTGGTGGAAGTGTTTGCATGATATTTATTGTTTCCCATCTCTGTTCTTTCTTCAAAATTATCTAGCGCAATGTTTGATTCTGTCCTCATGCTGGCACTGTTGTTTCATTATTAAAATTGTAGGGCTGCAGAGGTATAACAGTGTTTTAGAAGTGAACTGCACAGCCCCAAGTATTCATCCAAGTCATTGGATCCAAGTGTTCCAATCACTTCCATAGTGACAGGAGTGTAAAACTTCCTCTCTACTAAATATTCCACAGTCAGCTGTTAGTGGTGTTATTACAAAGTGGAAGTGAATGACAGCAACTTAGCCATGATGAAGTTTGCCATATAAAATCATGGAATGTGGTCAGCACAAACTTTCTGCAGAGTCAGTTGCTACACATAACCAAGCTTCATGTGATCTTCAGATTAGCTGGAGAACAGTGCATAGAGAGCTTCATGGAATGGGTTTCCATGCCCGAGCAGCTGCATGCAAGCCTCACCAAACTCAGTGAATGGATCATATGCAGTGGTGTAAAGGATGCCACCAGTGGACTTATTGTTACTGTTATTGTGCTCTATAATAATAACACCACAAAGACAGACAGGAGAATGAGCTTTAGGAGTCCATGCACATTTAAAGAGTCACTGTGTCCCCTCAGCTGAATGCTACTGACACCCTTCAACGAATATGCTTTGAATTATGTTCAACTTTTTGGTAACAACTTTAACACCCCTGGATTAGTGGCTGGAGCCCAGCCTAAGTTTATTGTTCCAAGATAAAATGTACGTTCTGTTGTTGCAAAGTGGGAACAACAGAAATTCAGACTAGGTTACAGAGTGAGGTCGTTCATGATTCAAGATTCGTTATTTGTCACGTGCGTGGACAGGTATAACACGCGGTGAAATGTGACCTGCTCCTCGACTGTTCAAAGAAAAAAGAGAGAGAGACAGACAGAACTTTATATACAGGGAATGGATATATACAAAGAGGAAATTATGTGCAGCAAGTGGGTGGGTCATGTACATTATATAAATAGAAATAAATAAAATGAAACAATCTGGAAATTTACATGGTCGTTGCATGTTGAGGTAGCATGAAACTGCTGAATGAGTAGCTGCAGAGCTCAAAACACCAACACAAGAGTGCCTCACAAGGTTGGGTTTCTTTTTTTTTCTCTTTTTTTCTCTTTCTTTCTTTTTTTTCTCTTTTTTTTTTTTTTTGTGTCCCGTTTGGATCTATAGCCATCAGAATTGTTGTCTTAAGGCCAAGAAAGATGCCAAGCGGATTTATTTTACCAAGTGGATCATCATGGCCTTGCCATATTGGTCCATTTGATTGACCTTTATTATAATTATGAATTAATTTTATTTTCAGTTGCTACAAACGGGACAGACATGACTGGGGGATAGGACAGGGAGAAAGAATGAAAGAAAGAGAGGGAGAGAAAGAAAACCAAAGGGGAGAAGAGACGGTGAGAAGGGGGGGAAGAAAGAAAAACAAAACAAAACACCTGGGTCACCTGTATGGAGGAGAAAAACAGAAGAGAAAGCAAACAACAAAGAACAACATAATAAAAAAAAAACAGCACCATCACAAAAATTAGCTAGCAGTAGATATCAGTAGATACTAAATATTAAACACTATTGTGCAGCACGCAAGATAGAAAGCGCACAATGTGCTTTGAGGCAGCAGCCAAGAAAGGTGTAGTCCGCGTCTGTGAACACCCGTGTGTACACCTGTGTGCATACCTGTGTGGATCAGCATGCTTGTATTCCAAAGGTTTCTCCATGTAACGATCTGCTAGGGAGTGTGGGGGGCCACAGCCCCGTCCCCCAGGGCATGAAGCAGGTATGGAGGAGATCAAAACTCCAGACATCCAGAGGCCCCAGAGTACAAGGACCCGAGGAGGACCACCAAAGGGGGAGGAACCGTGCCACCCTCCTGGGAAGAGCTGAGTAGGGCCCCAAACGAGAGGTCACCCAGCAGCTACGGAGCAGAGGCCAGAGGGGGTTGCAGTGCCGTGCCCGTGGGCTCTGCCGGCAGCCAGCTGTGCCAGAGAGGACCAAGCTTCAGGCCCAGAGGCCTGAAGGTACCCCACCCCCCGGAAGGAGCCCAGTCGGGCCACAGGCGCCAGGCCCCGCCAATCGGCCACCAGGAGTGAGCCAGTACATACATGAGCGCCCAGCCCCAGTCGACAAGGACCACCAACACGCCAACGTCTGAGGGCATCAGCGACCAGCAGGGAGTGTGGTGAGGGGAGATAGGCCTCCGTACTTTAGAGGGCCTGAGATGTACCCAGAGAGGTTGAGTCTAAGACCCAACCTGACATATAGACACAGACGAACAGGCGCACGCGGACACAAACGTGCATTCCCACCCCCATAGACACAACCAAATACTCGGCACTCACCCAACGTGTAGACAGACACAAATACACACTGCACAGACAGTCGCACTCCCCAAACATACTCTATATCCCAGGTCCAGGTACCCCTGCCCCCAGAGGGGCAAGCCGCACCTAGACCCAGGAGATGTAACCCTTCTCTCTGGGGTGGAGGCAAGCGGACCACCTCCTTATCTGCAGTAGCAGGGAGGCCCCGCACCCCAGACCGCAGTCTGACGGCTAGCACCTCCTCCCAGCCCCCCAGCCCTGACGGCTAACAGAACCGGGGTGAGTGAAGACCCCAAACCTCCCTCCGCCCGCTCATATGTTGCTGTGTGCTGTTCTAAAGTGCATTTAAAACTCAGGAGAGCAGCACGGCTCCTCCCGAAAACCCTTAGTGTCTATGTGCCAGAGGTGGGTTGGAGTACACCGACCATCCTCTGGATGCTGTAAAACGTGCCCACCCCCAAGGCCCTATATGTGTGTGTTATGTGAGAGTGTGAGTAATGTGGATGTCTAGCTTGCAGAATAAAATTGAGGCACAGGCGGCCAGAAGGGGACAGAGGGGGAGTGCCTCCCTGCACCCTGGTGAAGTACCTGCACCCCAAGCCCTGCGTGTGTGGGTGGGTGTGGTAGAGCGGGAATAGGGAGGCAGCTGAGGATGGGGAGGGAATAAAGGGAGGGGCCAGCTCCCCCACTGACCCCAGTAGGCACCCCCACATTCTGGAACCCACCAGGGAAAGGGGGCCCAGGCCCATCCGGACCGGGGCCCGCAGCAGCAGCACCGCTCAGCCCCACAGAGTCCGGGGCAGCCCACCCGACTCCACCCCAGAGAAAACTGCACCCACCCCATCATCCAATCATCTCCCAAACTACACAAGACAACCCACCCGCCCACAGCTCCCGCGACACAACACCCAGGACCCAAGCCCCCAAGGCCCAGCCAGCACCCCAGACCGGGGGCGGAGCATCCCCAGACTCCCAAGCCTCCACGCCCGTCCTGGACCCACCCAGGGGCAGCCAGGCTACCAGACCAGTAACCAACGTCCGCCAGCACAGACCCTCCCCCATCTCCGTTGTACGCAGCCACAAGGAAAACACCATCTAAGAGCCACTAGAGCCCCTAACCAGGTCATGGCCACATCCCCCGGGCTGAGCCCTCCAGGGAAAACGTCCCTAGGGACTCCCCAGACGCCCTGAGGCCATCCCTGCCCCCATATCAACCACAATAGCGAAGGCAGGACCAAACCATGACCCCCCACCCCCACTAGGTGATGAAGCCGATCAAAGGAGCCCAAAGGGATTGATCAAATGTGATCGCAGAGGCTGTATCAAGACTAATGTGATCTATTAGATGGTTTCTATATTGGTTAGAATTAAGATTATTTTTACCTTTCCAGTTAATGAGGACCATTTTCTTGGCAATGCATAGGGCCGTAAAAACAACGTAGGCTGTGTTTATTTAGACCTCATCCAAGTTGCCCAGCAAGCATACTAAAGGGGAGGCTGGAATGTCACATTTCAGACACTTTGATAAGTCTTCACATATCTCACGCCAAAACTTCTGAACTGGTGGACAGAACCAAAGAGCGTGGATGTAATTGTCTGGTGTATTTGCTGTGCAGTGTGAGCAGTTGTTGGAAGGCGTATAGCCCATCCTATGACCAGTATAGTGCACTCTGTGTAATATTTTGTATTGTATTAATTGCCTCCTTCACAATATGGTGAAAAGTCAAAGGTGTTATCAGATCAGACTCACCTACTGCCATCTTTTGTGCTAGTGGAAAGGGTTTTATTTGTAGATGTGAATGTTTTATTATGCAGGCACAAGCAAAAGAAACCACAGCCTGTTTTAATTCCCATGTTTTACATGCCAAAAAAACCAAAAGTCATCAGGCCTCAGCAAGTCAAAAAATGAGGTAAATGCAACTTGAGATGAACTACAACAAGCGACATGTAACAGCGACTCTGTGAAGCACATCATGATAAATGAATTCATATGAAGAAGCTGTCAGGCTTCATCAAATGCAATATAAAAAAAACCCCATCTCAGTCATTTGCATTCACAGCCTCACTGCTGTGGTATGTAGCTTGTCTGTACGCGTTTATGCGGGCGTTTCCACTGGTTCATTCTTTCCCTGTAATCAGATGCACACAGAGACTCCTCCCTGGTGCTCCATAACAAACAAAAGATTTGCTCTCTGTGGCTCCAACACAGCTTGTTTTTTGGAGGCTGCAGTTAAACATGGAGATAAGTCACATGTGAAAATTATTCAGGAACTGAAACCGTTAAAAACTCAGGTGTGATCAAGTCTGCTCTGTTATTAACTGTTATTAACGTTGCACAGTTGTGACATGACTCCTTTGGATGGTTGCATTTCAGTCAGTGAAGAGTAATGCTGTCAGGTTTTTTTGAACTTGGGTTATGTTATTGAAAGACATCAGAAATGTCTGCTGTAACTGCGTCGCTCTGCTCGACTTTGCTGTTTGTCATCCTCATTGTGGTCGACTCTGCAGGTGAGATTTAGCTGTGTTTCCTTTTGCTTTTTAAATTGATCTGTCTTTTTGCCATATTAATAATTATTGTCTCTGTGTGTGAAGACATGATGCTGGCGGCAGTCTGTTAGGACTTGTCACTGTGTGTGTCCAAGTGTGTCTGAGATGTGTTGAAGTTTCAGGAGTAGCTTTCTTTTTAATGACTTATTCTGACTGCCATGAGCATCGAGACCTGAGTATTTAGTTCAATTATTTCATGTTTCTATGTGACGGGGACGTGTTGCGGATTTATATATTATTTTGTATTTGTGGCATTTCTGAAATATGGATGTACGCTTTCTGGACCTGTGCAACACGCTGCAAAGTAATATTGCAATTATAATAATAACAAATAATATCAGCTGTCATTCATAAGGAGGTATATGTTTATTGGAGGTAAGTTGAATGATTTTTTGTGGGGTTTTGAGACTTTTACATGATTAATTCCTCAAGAGTTTGTCCCATAAAAACACAAATAAATTTCAAAACCCAATTTTAAGCCAAAATAAATGTCAGATGTAGCAAATGTGATACAAATTAAAACCCATAAATGTCAATTAATATTTAATTCACAAAATATAAATAAATTGTCAGCGTTCAATAAACAAACCATTAAAAAAAGAAAAAGAAAACTACAACCTATTTTTTCACTAATGTTAAGAAATGCTTTTATTAGTGGGTGTAGTATTTTCTAAAATGTAAGAAATGTTGTTAATATTTGCATAGTTAGACACACGTATATTTCACCTCTGATCACGAACTCGTTCCCAATGATGTAAAATAAACGTGTGTGTGTTCAGCAGAGCTCAGTGGTCTCACTCTAGCTCCTCACACTAACCAGCTGCTGTTGTTTCCTCTCTTTCAGTTGTGATAAACATCCCAGCTGTATCTGGACAAAGTGCCATTCTGTCGTGTCGAACTCAAAACAAATCCGTCATAGTGGTGGAGTGGAGCAGACCTGACCTCAAGAATGAGCATGTCCTGTTTTACCGGGATGAGCAGTTTGACACAGACAACCAGCATCCATCTTTTAAGCAGCGGGTGACTCTGCGGGACAGACAGATGAAGGATGGAGACGTGTCTCTGATCCTGAAGGATGTGACGATTAACGACATGGGAACGTACGAGTGTCGTGTTTTCATGAGAGGGACAAACCGCAGGAAGAGAGCCATTTTGGAGACTGAGCCTATCTGCATCATCAACCTGAGTGTCTGTGATCTTTCAGGTGAGTCACTAGAGTTCAGTGTGTCTGTGATCACCCACCTGACAGCTGACACTCACACCTGTTTCTCACCTGCAGGACCACCAGGAGGAGAAGAGAGGTTTAGACATATTGGACTGATCGTTGCCCTTTTACTCTTCACTTCATCACTGCTTCTTCTTGGAGTTGTTCCTTTCATCCACAGAAGACAAAAACAACGACAGACTCACAGCTCACAGAAGCCTCCTGGTGTGAGTGATTCTCCTACTGCTGATATTAGTGTAGAAACAGAGAGGATCTACACTACATAGAAGCTGATGATGCTGAACTCCTCCAGACATCAAGCATGTTGAGAATTTGATTTGATTTTTCTGGATTAGTTAGCACCACACGTAGAAAACAAAGACACTATCAGTCACATTAACTTCCCCATCCATCCATCCCCACCATGTACTCTGCTAGCATTTAACTATAACTGAGGCCCAAATAACCAAAAAATTGTAAGATCTCAGTGATCTTGGCATTACTAAGAATTTAAGAACATGCCTAGCACCAACAACAAACTGAGAAAGAGGATTAGCACAAAAAACAAATAAACCAAACACAAGTTTTTTCCCATGATACAGTACTGACACCACCTCTCAGTCTCAAAGCTCTTCTACCAACTGTCACATGACTAACTCAGCAGTGTTATTACAGCCTTATGAAAACACAGAATGAAATCAGTTTCATGTAACTGCAGAGTTTGGTAGTTCCAGCTGACGCCTCGCACCTTTCTCTCACACACAGTCTGGGTCTGTTTCCTCGGATGTAAATACTTGTGTGAGGATGAGGCTGAAATGACAGATTACAGAATAAGATTCACTCATTCAATGATGTCAAACAATATTTCAAAGGTTCGGAGTCTAAACAGATTGTTCAATGAAAGTCACCTTAACATGTCTCAGTGGGTCGACTCAGAACTAGAGCGCCTGAGGATGTTGTTACTCTGTAAAAGTTCAACAAACCATGTCCGAGTTCACTCGCAGAGCTGCACGGATCTAAAACTGAAAGGATCACAGATTTAAACCGGATCAGGCCGGGATCCAACTTGGCTGATCTCAGAGTCGACCTGCTCTGTCTTCTCACTGTTGTCATTGAACATCGAGGGGCAGACAGATGATCTGGGTACAGGCTGTTAATGATACTGAGCATCCAACAAGGAGGCATCAAACACTTCCTGAATTTCATACAACTTTACATTAGTCTAACTATGCTGACAGGATTTAAATTGCAGACGTTTCTTCTGCTCTTGAAAAGAAAAGGAAACTCAAATGTGACTTACAAATAGTTTCCTTGTAACAGCCAGTAGAGTTTGAGTGTTTTGGCTCCCAAAGACAAACTGTTACAGAATAATCACAGACACTAGCAGCAGACAACATCAACACTGTATGTGACTGTCTGAACGTGGGGGAGGTTACTGTGGCTGATAGCAATAATGAATCTGCCTGATAGTGTTTAGCATCCGTTAATGAAATACTACTGAGTGAGATATACAAAGTTTTACTGCAGCAATTTGAAACCAAAGAGAGCAAATATTAGAGTGAGTGGTGAAGCGTAAATAGTTATTTTCCTTCCATGAAGGAGGCACTTTGGTCTTTTTTTAATTGACTTAAGTATTGGTGATAATTACGAGTTTGTTTGTGTCACTGTTAATAAAGTCTTACTGTGCTAATAGTGTTTTTTTTTTTTAATTATTTTTAATTCTTAAATCATCTGTTTTCACAAGAGATTTCATTGGACGATGACCAGCGTCATGCATCTGCTCTATGTATGTTTCTGCCTTGCAATTTGTGATTGGCAGGATTAACCTTAATGCAGTGATGTTACTGTGATTCTATTGGCCCAAATGAGTAAAAGTTTAATCATGAAAATAAATTAAATAATTTCTGCTGTTTAATACCTAAGACATTTCAACTCCCACAGATTCTGCTAAATTGCAGGAGGCCGGGCAGTCTTGACTAAAACCTCTGTAACTTTGCTTTGTTCCACTTCAGCAGCATTAGTCTTTGCACAGATAATGTCCACATGTTGACTGATGATTTTCTGAAGATTATTGTCCACCGCAGCATGTTTTCAAATGGGTATAATGCTATAAAATACAAAAACAAAAAAATTAGACAAGGAAAAAAACGTATTTTTCCCTTGTTCCACGCTCAGTTACTTTAACACAGAAATGTCTGCTGTAATATTTATACCTCTCATGAAGTCTCACAAGTGTTAGCTTTATTTTGATACCAAGACTGTTTATGCAGAGTTTTTAATTGCAGAGTAATACTCCATTTATTTTGTGCATGTCATTTTCGAGCAGGAGCCAAAGACTGTTGGGGCTGGAATCAGATTGAAGCCAAAAAACCTTTCCTAGAAAAGGAGACATGATTCACTCTGACGGGTGTGAATGTGTGAACATGTTCAAACTCAATTACATTTTTCATAGCTACCATGTACTCGGTTTGTGTTTTCCTCAAAACATTCCCACAAATGTTTGTAATATGCAAAGTGAAGTAAAATAAAGTCTTAAATTATACAAAATTGAGTAATGCAGTGTGCATATGAATTTAATGTTATAACAGTGGGTTATTTCACACTGTTAACCAGAGTGACAGCCTGTGGGAAGAAAGTGTCTCTGTGGTGGATGCTTTTAGTAAACAGTGCTCCGTGTCACCATCCTGAAGGCAGCAGTTTGAACAGTTGTGAGCAGAGATGTTTCCTAACCCTGGACGTGTACAGGTCCAGGATAGAGGGAAGATTGAACATCAGAGCCGATGTATTTATTGAATATGTTCACTGTACTCTGGAAATAAATGAGCTCTTCTTTAGTGTTTACAGGCTGATCAAGAAGCACACCCCGTTTAACACTTTCCACAGTCTCATTCATCTCCAGCCTAAACACAGGATTAAGGTAATCTTTATCTACAGTAAATATACATGTAAACATTTCATTAGAACTGCACATGCTGATTTGTTCTTTAACAAACTATGAAAGCTCATTGGGGATCTGCTTGTATCCATGTTAGTGTTTAAAGTCAAACATCTCCCTCTAGTGGTCATATATAAACATGTGTGAGGATGGCGTTAATGTAAAATGTGAATCATAGTGTTCCAGTCAGTCACCAGCAGGGTTTTAATAGTTTTGCAATTTTCATTAGTTTTTATTTTTATTTAGTTTCGACTTCAGATTTTCAATTTTATATCAGTTTTAATTAGTTTTTACCAATTTTTCGCTAGTTTAGTTTTTATTTTTTTGAAAATCCTTAGTTTCAGTTTAGTTTTGATTAGTGTCAGTTATAGTTTTAGTTGTGTTTGCAATAATTAAGTGTAACAAAATCCCAGTTTCATCATATCAGTCCTGCTCTTCTGCTTATCCTTGGGTATGTTGCTATTCCAGCTACCATACCCTGCACCCTGTCTGTCGCAGGGCTAACATGCAGAGACAGACAACTCACATTTCCACCTATGGGTTCTTTAAATAAATAAATAAATTAGGGCAGATGAACAACCATTGATACCAAGCAACTATAAAATGTATATCTTGGCCCCAATAAGACTATTAACTCTTGCACCACCGGGTGTTCGTAATTTTGGTTCAAGTGAATTGATAAACTTTTTGAAGGGAATTGACTCACACAGTTGTGTAGATATCCCAGTCCTGTTTTCTCGGGATGCATCACGCTGCCTTGCCTGGGGTTAGCGTCTGTTTCTGGGGATGAGGGTTGAGTGTGCTCCCTTCTCAAGGTAAGCTAGGTTAGCCTTCTTGTGTGAACTTTTCAAGTGCACTTTAAGGTTTGTGGGATTTTCTTCCCTTTAGAAATGTCCCTCATAATTCGTCTCTTTCCACTACAAGACACTTGCTTTATCCAAAACACAGTCATATTCAAAGTAATCCCAAATTGGACTCTGGCGCTTTCTCTGACTTTTCCTGACATGATTCTGCGTGTGGACGGAGCAGCAACACGCGACTAACGTACTGCCACCTGCTGGCATAATTAGACACAGCAAGAAAAAAATCTGGAAACTAAACTTCATTTTCACCCTCGACTATTGTATGACACGCACATCAATGAAAACTAAACACATTTTTGCTATAAATTCAGTTAATTTTAGTTAATTTTGTGAACACTCATTACAGTTTTAGTTAGTTTTCCTTTTTTGATTTTATTTTTATTTCCGTTAACAAAAATGTTTTTTCACTTCTAGTTTTTGTTATTTCGTTAGTTTTCGTTAACGATAATAACCTTGGTCATCAGTGTGTTGGTTAAACCCAGATTCTGTTAAAAAAATAAATAAATCCTTACATTTTACTACTTGTTTTGTAGCAGCTTTACGAAATTTTTGTAAGGTTTATGTTATATAAAGAACACTACAGGGGGTTTGAATAGTTTAACACTGGCATTTTTAAATGAAGAGGAAAATAAGTGACTCCCCCACCTCTGTGTTTGAACCAATAGAAAAGCTGGTGCTCAGAGGAAGAGGGCGGGCTTTACTTGGTGTCAGTGACAGAAATGAAAAGAAGCTCAAATGAGTGAGAAGGACGATGAAGGAAACATCTGTGCTGTGTCTGCTCTGTAAGTAGAATCTCTGTGTTTGTTTGAATTCTTGTACTTTGACTGTCTGCTCTCCTGATAACTGATGATGGAGGAGAAGACATGAAAAACAAATCAGGCTGAATTCAAGTTCAAAACACCACGAGGACCAACTGCAGGTCTGAACTGACTCTTTATCTTTGCTCAGGAGTCGAGGAAACACAGCAGGCAGTGAAAAGATCAAATCATTCACTCATTATATCAACACAGCTGCACAGTGGACACAAATATATCACTTTAATAATAAATATTTGGTGAATACCAACAGTGTAGTCAGTTCACATAAAGAGCTGCGTTTTAAGATAAAGGTGGTGCAGTGGAGTTGTTCTTTATGTTCACCTGAAATCAACCTGAGTGTCATTTCTCTTTAGTTCTGATCTCACTGCTGAGCTGCACAACAAACCAAGGTCAGTAACCTTCTTCTGTCACAGTTTAAACCTGAGAAATGCTCACTGATATGACCTGATTGGGTTCATGTTTGCAGAAACTCTCTTTTTGCTTTTTGAAAGAAAAAAAACTCTTAACAGATCATCAGTTTTTCATTTTAACCCTCACAGCTCGTCTGACTGTGAGTCCCAGCAGCTCTCAAATCTTTAAAGGAGACTTTGTGTCTCTGAGCTGTGAGGAGGACGACAGCTCTGCTGGATGGACTCTGAGGAGAAACACAAATATAGGAAACACAACTCAGTGTGGAGATGGGTGGGGAAAACTTGTTAATTCTTCTTGTAACATTAGCTACATCATCCCGTCAGACAGTGGAGTTTACTGGTGTGAGTCCAGAGAGGGTCCCATCAGTAACATGGTTAACCTGACAGTCACTGGTAAGCTGAGTGTGTGGAGTTAGTGTTGATGAAGCTGTGTGTAAATGGATGAAATGCTGTAGTTTGTCTCTGTGTTGAGGTGGATCAGTGATCCTGCAGAGTCCTGTCCTCCCTGTGATGGAGGGAGATGACGTCACTCTGCTCTGTAAAACAAAGACCACTCCCTCCAACCTCCCAGCTGCTTTCTATAAAGATGGCTCCCTCATCAGGAAGCAGCCTACAGGTCACATGACCATCCAGCATGTTTCCAGGTCTGATGAAGGCCTCTACAAGTGTGACATCAGCGGTCATGGAGAGTCTCCATCCAGCTGGATCACTGTCACAGGTGACACACTCACCTGTCTGTGTTTCTGCAGCTTTCAACATTCACAATGTGACGACAACTTAATGACTGTGTTTGCTTTATTATAGGGGAACACACCACCACACCTCCACCTGCATCCACACCTCCTCCTGGTTCCACCTCCATCACTCTTCCTCCATCACTCTCTCCTCCTGTTCTCTCTGTGTTGTCATGTGTTGGATCAGTCTGTGTTGTGGTTCTACTGGTGTTACTGGTTCTGCTGGTGAGACGATGTGTTCACAGGAAACGTGAAGGTGAGACTCAGACTTCTAATTTTAGTGTTTTTGTTAGTTTTTTTTTTTCTTTTAAACAGCTTAGATTAAATGTTCTTTCAGAGTTTTAGTCTTTCTTTTTTTTTTTCATTTTAAATTCACTGCAGCTGAACACGAGGCAAACATGGGAAGTGACGTCAACACTGAAATCACATACGTCCAAATATCACATCGCCAGCAGCAAAACAAAGGTAAATTGTTGCTTTGGTTATTTTTCAGGAGCTGCTGGGAGCGTGAAAATCCTGCTAGAGGAGTTGTTCCGTTCCAGTCAGGCGTTTAATCCAGTTACTTCTCACAGCTAACGTTGCAGAGTCATAAGGACCTGGTTCATGTCCCTGGATGAACGTTACTGTATATCTCAGTGTTGTTTGGTTCAAATACAGTTTAGCATCATTTTCTTTCAACCACCTTTGGCCTGGTGTTGCAGATTTAGCCAGTGGTCCACCTCGTATGGACCCCACAGACCATCTTTCTGTGACACAATTAGGCAATAAATCAGGTTGGGCTCAGATGTGTGTGTGCTCTGTTCAGTTTGTCTCTTTATGATTTTCAAAATTGTTCTTTCCAATCCTGCTAACAACTGTGACCTCTTTAAAATTCTGTTTTTAAAACCACAGCAGCTGCTTCCTGTTATTCCCATTAACTGCTGTCTGACACTGATGAAAGCTCTCACTGCAGTATGTCACGCACATGGTACTGTTCATGTTGTGAGGACCTTTCCGTGTTGCAGGTTTGGTTTGTTGTAAAATGTGCCTGTCTGAATCAAAGGATGATCAAAAGACCATCCACCTACTTTTTCTTAGAAACATCTTCCAACTCTGACGTCAAATCCTGTTTTGCAATAGTGAAGGAAAAAAAAGAAACTCTGAAAACCTGCTGTTATTTGAAAGGTTTTCATTAATATCATGCAGCTGCATAAACTGTAATGTGTAGTGCGGTAATGTAAAAGTACTGTTGTTGTTATAACTGCAGTAATTTCTCTGTGTTTTATTGTGGAGAAAGTGATCCACCTGCAGTCAATTCAGCAGTGAGAACAGGAAGTGTCAGTTATGGACAATCAGACAGCAGACGACCGGATGTACAGCTGATCTCAATCTCCGGCTTTTGACAAAGCCAAGCTAACCACATCCTGACTAAAGCCAGTACATCAAATCGTCTTCTTGCTTGGAAAGGAAAATGTTTTCTTTCATGCAAAAGAGGAACTATTTCTATTTCACTGTTCTAAGCTACACTGGTATTAAGAACATTTGCCAGAAATATTGTTTTTTGAACTGTGTGTGTTTGTGTTCAGACTTTAAATCAGAGCCAGACGTGATCTACTCTTCATTGAAGTAGTCCACCAGTCCAACCGCTGACATCCAGCTGCTGGTCTCTGACTGCCCCCCCCCGCACCTCAGACCAGAGGACATCCAGACGTCACAGAGATTTTTATGTCTTTTTTCTAGTTAATAAGACTCATGCTTCTGAGTTTAAAATTGTCTTTTAGTGCAAAATCAACAATATAAACTTTTTATATGTATATATGTGTGTGTGTATTTTTGCCATATTTCTGTAGCATCAATAAAATGTCGGTGTCAGTTGTGTTTCTCACGTGGGTCTCTGGGTTTCTAAAATATGTCCTGTGGAAAATCTGATTTGTTGCTGTTTTGTTGTGGCTGACACCCACCTGTCTTTAGTGCACAGCGAACATCAGTCAGCAGCTGCAGACTAAAAATAGCAGGATCATGCAGTAGTTATAACAGCTTCAGTAGAGTAAAGGTGTCTGTTTGATGACTGAGATTTTTTTCTCACCTTGAAACCAACCAGCAGCAGCTACATCCAAAAACCCACCGCAGTTTTATTATTACAGAGCTGAAGGGTTTTGGCATCTGATAAACCTCAAATTCATGAATTGTGACTGCTGTGGAAAAGCATTTGACCACTTCCTGTCTTTGTACTGACATTTTCAAAATAGGCTCGATACCTTTGATTCAGCTGTATCATTTATAGCGTTTATACTTGTGAGGCAAGTGCACAGGAACAAGTGCAAGTGCAGTCTCCCAGTGCTTCCTGCAGGATGTAGCATCTAACTAGCTTTACTGAAAAGGTGCTTTACCAGGAAGGGAAAAGAGAGGGAGCCATCGTAACTACTTAATGGTTAAATGTGCTCGAGGGCATTTGATAAACTGAAAATTTTAAAATTACAGATGGTGTGATTTTCTTTTTAGCTCTCTGTTCTAATGTAAATCAGTTTTCTAAAGTTTGTGTGGAAATTATCCACCAAAAAATCCAACCATGGCCTTGAACCTTGTTTGGTGGAGGCCATGAATGTCCATGCTGTATTAGCTGGGATAGTCTGGAGCCTGTCCCAGCTAATATAGAAAGGCAGGTTACACCCTGGACAGGTCACCAATCTGCCAGTTATCAATAACTACCAGAACAGCACGATGGTAGCACAAATCCACAACAGTCTAAGTGTAAGATTAAAGATTTCCTACTTTTTATGCACTGTGAGGCGTGTGTTGATGGAGGTGACTCTTTAAAGCTGACGTCCAACTTGAAGTAGAAATAAGAAGAAGTAGAAATTTGTAACTTTCCATCTCAGATGAAAGTGACAATATTGCTATTGTTGTATAGAAGAGTGTAACTGTGTCGCTAGATTTAAGGGTTAGCTAAGTCATGCTTAAAGTGGTAAAAGGTCCATTTAAATCATCATGGTAACTTGTGATGAACACACATTAAGCGTAAAAATATGTATACACAAGATTCAAGCTTTTCTTCAGAGTTGGTGGGTTTTTTTGTTGCTGTTTTTTGCAGCAACAGTGTTGAACAGATGAAATAATTTGTCCAATAAGGATAAGAACTGTTTACAAATGCTGGGCTTGACATCAAAGAAGCAAAAACGAAACTTAATATAGAAAAAATGCAGATAAAGGTCAATGCACTGAGGTAATATATACACAATAGTAGTGTAAATTATGATAACACTGATAATGTTGAATTTTATTATTATATTTATGTTCTTTGCACATCCTTATTAGCTCTTTTTGTCACAATATATTTGATTGGTTAAGCTGTGTTTTCATTGATTTTCTGAGAAAGAAAAGTGAACCATGTCAAACAGTCACTTTTATGTCAGAGCACACAAAGAGGCTAAAGCTGAAGGCTGATCATCACTGTCACACAACTGGGCTGTTATGTTTGATCATCACCTGCGACAAAGAAAGCCTGGTTAGGTTGGACTAGCTCCATAGCACACCCTTCAGATAAGTCACTGTAAAAACATGATAATGTGCACATGTAATAAGTAACTTATTACTAATTGAAGGAATTGATGGTTCAGTTCCACCATCAGTGGGGCTGCACTATCGGAGAGTGAAACACTTATCTGTTTGTTTATTTATTTAATTCTGCACACATATTTACCATATTTGCTCATCCACCAGGGGACGCTGAAGCTCCCTCAATATCCTTACTTTTCACAACCTTTACTATGTTTTTGCTTAATTTGCTTAACTTCCAATATGTCTGTGAAGGTTCTCAGTCATCCAGGCCATCATAGTCTAAGGAGCTTGGAAAGAAAAGTGTCTATGCTTTTTTTAAGTTGCTTGAAGACGTTTGTCTTGGTGGGACACTCCCACAGAGCTTAAGTCTGGGACTCTCCACCATTTGACCCTAGAACTGAAGAAGCTTCTTGGATTTCATATACCTTTATTAGTCCCACAAGGGGAAATTTCATAAGGCTGCCGACCTATTGCACGCAATACATTACACAAACATCACATGGGGTAGACAGGTCAGAGAGGTATAACAATGGAAAATGCACCACGTGAGGAAAGATAAGGAGAAAAAATAACTCCCCCAGACTGAGCTCCAACAGGGAGATCAGTTTGAGAACAGAAAAAAACACCTCTGCACATAGTACATGAAAAAACTCTTAATACACCAAAGAAACACATGACAAGCAACAGGGGTGGGTAAAGGGTGAGAGACAGCCGATTTAGACAGTACATCCGGGCCTGCATGCGCTGGTCTCCTTGATCCACCATCAGCATCAGAAGGGAATAAGTGTCGAAGGCGTTTGGAGGGGGGATGAGTGTACATCTGCATGTGTATATATATGTCTCTGTGTGTGTGTGTGTGTGTGTCCAGAGTTCAGCTGAGACAGTGTCCTTCGCCCTGCCAGGCTAAGTAAACAGTCTTCCAGCCAACCCAGGTGGCCTTGTAGGGAATGGGAAGAACAGTCTAAACACAGTCGTTATCAGGGTTGTTCAGCTCCAGCCTTGCAGCTGGCGCCGAAAGGGCATCTGCATAAGTGATGGTGCTTTTTACTTTAGTGCGAACAGGCTTATGGTTGAGAAATGAACATTCAATGCACGGGCGACAGATCTGGTTGACATTCCTGCTGTCAGCATGCCAATTGCACGCTCCCTCATTGCTTGTGGCATCTGTGGCATTTTGCTGTGAGACAAAACTGCACATTCCAGGGTGGCCTTTTGTTGTGGGCAGTCTGAGGTACACCTGTGCACTACTCATGATGTCAGATCAGCATCCTGATGTGGCACACCTGTGAGGTGGGATGGATTATGTGGGGATGTTGTGGGGATGGAGCTGGACTCCCTCAAGGTGGTGTCGGAGAGGCGGATGCTGTCCAAGATAAAGACAATGTTGGATAACACCTCCCACCCACTCCATGACATGTTGGTCAGTCACAGGAGCACGTTCAGTGAGAGACTGAGATTACTGAAAAGCACCACTGAACGACACAGTGGACCTGTGGCCATCTCCCTGTACAACGCATCCACTTAACACACTGTTTACTGCTACAACTACACATGTTTCTTTTCCAGCTATTTATTTATGAGTGACTTATGTATGTATGTATGTATATATATGTATATATTGTACTATTCTTAGTTAGTGTATTGTCTGTCTTGTCTTAATGTTGGTTATAATGGAGCACTGTAACAAAAAAATAATTTCCCCCAGGGATCAATAAAGTATTCTGATTCTGATTCTGATTATCTCAATATAGCAGATGTGCCCACTACCACACATTTGGACTGATTTGTGACCACTGTTTCGGAGGGATGGTTATATTGTGTATCTGGAATGAATTTTAGGTCTCTACGTCCATCCCATGGGGAATGGGAGCAGTAACAAAGGTGTTGCGTTTATATTTTTGTTGAGTGTATGAAATGATGAGAGGTGAAACGTCTTCAAGAAACTTAAAGAAGTCCAGGCGCTTTTCGTTCCAAGCTCCTTAGATTCGATTTTCAAATCAAATTATTCAAAGCTTTTACTGTTTGACTATAAACTGTTGTTCAGTCAATGCCAGCTCAGAGAAACAGACCTGGTCCCTCCTGGTCACACTTTGTTCCTCCTCTCTTCTCTCCTGCTGAGTTTTACCACATTTGTTTTGCTGCCTTTTACTGATCATGCTGACATGTTTCAGTGGAAGAAGAATAAAGAGGAAAATAATGAAACTATAATCAGAGAAGCTGCTGATTAATTTTCACTCAACCATTTAGTCCTTGACGAATTTACTTTTACAGCAGGACATTTGACATGATATGAAACGACACACCCAGATTTCAGCTGTACCAACAACAAACACTGACTGGTGAACCCATCTGACCACAATATAACAAAAGCAGGCCTTTATGAAATGTGACACTCTTTATGTGACTCACTTCACCACAAACACAAAACTTTTTAGAGATTCCTTCAGATCCTTTTAGAGGAAATGTCAGTGCTGAGAATACTTGGAAACAGAGATCCAACTGTTAGTGAATTAAGGTCAAAATGAGACTCGTCATGCATTATAACTAATTTTGAGCAGCCAGCTACCTCACATGGTGATATGAGTCTTCATAATTTTCCCAAAATGCCGTTTTTTTTAGTTTTCACCAATGAATTATCAGAAAAAACATCAAACAGGGTGTGTTTCTGTTGGTCTATGTCATAGATATTAAATTAGTAACATTTCTCTAAACATGATATTGTCCCATATATATATATATATATCCCATCATGCACTTGGAGTTGATCTGGTTTCAGTTCAAATTCCATTTTCAGCCCTGAAAATTTTATGTGGCTTTATCATGGACGTTCCGTTATGAGGAATCAAAATGTCAAAAGAATCAGAAGAGAGGAGACAGATTTAAACCTCTCGTCTGTGTATAAATTTTAAGTATATTTATTGTATTTGTCAAATACAGAGCATCAGATCCTGTCACTTGAGAAGTCAGGGAATGTGGTTGCAACAGTGATGCTATGAAGTCAAACAGGTCTAAGGTGTGTCGTATAAAACAGCTGACGGGAAAATACGGGTTAGATTGTTCACTGGGCTGTTTAGTGCAGCCAGAGACCAAACCAAGGTCACTGTCCTCAAAGATTTTTTTCTTTTTCATTCTTATTTTTCATGTTTTCTCTCGGTGGAAAAGTTTTCCATGCTGATGATCA